TCACAGAGTATGACAGGAAAAACATAATTGTAATTCTATATGAAATAGTATCTCAGAACTATCAATTGTGTAGGCAACTCAATAAGCAAGGGCTGCAAGGTTCCTTGGAGTGGAAAAACCTTCAGAGCACATGTAAATTGTAAATATAGGATGAAACATGACTTGGAAAGATATAAAATCATAAGTAGTAGAAGCATAAGATCTCTTCTATATTGAGCAGGTTGTGGTTTGTTTTTGTACCGTTACGAAGTACTCAATATTTTTTAGATGTCATTAAGGCTAACTTACACTTGTAAAACGGTATTTTGACTGCACCTAGTCATGTAATGCCTTTCAAAAACTATCTAAGCTTAGAGAATAGTCTATATTCTAACTATACATTTAGCATTAAAAGCGAAGATTTACCTACTGAGTTGGGTTAATGGTTATAAGTGAAAAAAGATTTGATAAATAACTTCTTTCTATTTAGCAAAATAATCATAATAAAAAAAGTAAGACAAGTTTAAAAAGTGCCATTTTCGATATGTGCCCCAATATCAGTAAACCATAGTCTTAAAATGTAAATTTTGTAGGTAACATTTTCGTTATGTTTGTTTTTTTTCATTGTAATTTGAACATTGAACCTTACATAATAAACCTTACACACGTACGATCAGGTTCAAGGTGGTTACGTGACAATGTTACTTGCTTTATGACTGTTCCTCGAATCACCGACATGCTTTTATTACAAGAAAACAAATTGTATGAACACCTAAAGATTCACAAGGACTGGATGATCATTGTTTTTCAAACAACATTTGCGCTTCGAAAAAAAATTGACTTTTTTTTAAGTCAAAGATTCTCAAACATTAAATATTACCTCCTTTTAACATTTTCATTCAAATGGCCTTATATCAATAGATAACAACGTTAGTAAATTTAAAAAAAAACACGATTATACCAAAATGTATACATTCTTTGAATTTGCTGTGGTTGTATTTATATTGTCACTCTAAAAATGAAGCTTGGTCATCGCGTACAGAAACTGAGTTCATTAACAAAATCTATATATTAAGTTCTTTGTATAGCAAAATAATGATTTTCAATCTTTAATAAGCAAGATGAAGTAATGTCTTAAATGAATATATCCTTTTACTTTCAAACAATGCTATAATTATGTTCTGTGATGCGGAAAGAAATGTGTCATTGTTCTGTTATTCTAATTGAATAAACACACAAGATGATGAATATTACATTATCTGTTAGCAAAACAAAGATCTACAATGTGTTGTGAGGAAACATCTTATCTTAAAGGTAATTATATTTTTTAGGACACTCGAACAAAGAAATTATTATTAATGAACCATGTTCACACATTTCTCGTTGTTTGTGATACGATTTAAATTTGTTTGTTTTAACATTTGATAGTATTTTGTTAAATGGAGGTCACTTTTTTAACTTGTTATTGGACCAAGGCATGAAAAAACCAATATTTCATTTTTTTTTATTTTCTTTCAAATATCAATAGCTTCCTGGTATCTTGACCTACTTATAGGGGAACTGCAGGCAAAACGAACCATGCGGGTAAAACGGACCGGCTTGATAACTTTAAAACTACAAGCGCCATCTAAAAATGAGTACTGTTACTAATAGATGTCCACCTCCCCGCTCTTGGTCAGTGTCGGTGAGCCTGTCATGTGTGAGGAGGAAATTTTAGCGCACTGAGTTTTTTTGTTGTTTTTAGCCTGTACTTTTGTTCTATTATGTATAGCCAATATTATACATTATCATAGTGATTTACATTATATTGATCTTTTTATCGTGTCAACAGAATTGAAAAAGGTCTAATTTAAAACCTCAAAATTTATTTTTGATTTAAATGTTCCCAAAGGGCAAAACGGTCCGGAAAAATGGGAAAGTAAAAAATCTGCAAGGTGAGATATGTAGCTCGACTCAGTCATTGTTTAGTTGTTCAGTGGATGCTCACCGTTCTGCGACAATGTCCCACGTACAGGAACAACCATCTATTTGACAGGAAAAGGGGAAGAAGATGATACAAAATGTTTTTACTACTATCATCTCCATTCAGAATCAAAAGAAGGCTGGGTGCCTATCCAGATTTGTCACCAAAGGGCACATTGTAGTTGTGCAGGCGTAGAGAATGATGATGCGGACACCATATTTATATGCGACAACTGTTCTCCGGACTAAAGTATAAAATTTTGTACAGGTCCATTTTGCCCGTATATGTGGGCAAAACGGACCAAAGTGAAGGTTATGGAAATCAATCATTATCTTTGAACTATGTGATTTAATTAAGGTCTGATTATGAAAATATGTTGGCTGATTAGTAGTTAACTTGTTCTCATAAAAGTTTCTAAAATAAACCTATAATTAGTTGATTTAAATGGGTATTTTCTTTAGTGTCCCGTTTTACTTGCAGTTCCCCTGTGTAGTTTAATCCTTTATTGTCTCTAGTATGCAAAGAAAACTTTTTGTAAAATTTTTCAATGTACTTCGAGACGAAAGATTTTTAGTGCCATGTTAAATGTTTTTTTTTTTTGGTATTACCGTTTGATTAAATTTGACGTTCTTGGTAATCCTTAGAAAAAACAAATAATGGGGCAATCTTTTCATTAATCCATATTTGATATCTAATAATAAAATTTTTCACTATAGTTCAATTTGTAATAGCTCAAATCACGAGATCTCCGGCCGTAGATGCTGTCTATGTTATGATAAACGCCTTTCCATATTATATGTCCCTCATTTAGTTTTTATTACACGCATTTCGGTCACTTATCCCATTCTAGACAGTGTGAATCTTGCTTAACACGCCTTTACTTCATTCACCTGGCCGTAAACAGTCACCAGAATGCGCTCTCGAATTCTTTCTAAACCTCAGGTTCTATTTAACATACCTACTAATAGCATGCAATCCATTTGATGATGAAAGATAAGTATAAAAGATTTAACTGCAGTCGGTGTTAAAATACAAAGAGATTGTTCATAACAAAATTATAGAGTTACGTCATATTTAAATAGCATTACTCAGAACTCACATCATAATGAATATTCAGTATAAATACAATTGTATATGTATCTACTAATAAAACAAAGAAGTTCCTGTGTCCATCATTATATGGCCAGGTGCTAAAGATGTTTTATATATCGGTCTAACAATGATCTATTATTAATATCTACAGGGAGTATTAGTTTGATATTGAAATTCAAAACACGTTATACACATATAAAATGACACGAATGCAGGGATCATGGATTTCTGGATAAATACTTCAAATTAAAGATCGTATGTTGATGAAATAATTGCAGACTAAAGTTCGTTAAGCTGATTGAATTCAATTTTTTAATTAGAAGAAGCTGGTAATTAATAAAGGAGTAAATGGAATCTAGTTAATAATGAAACTTCTTTAATATTTGTATTTTATCTTGGCTGTCAGTCAGATTTTTGGAATAATAAAACAAGAATGTGAGACTTTATTTTGATCCCTTACACGGGATATTGAATTGAGGTCCTTGCCATAAGAAAAAAATGTATGACTCAAACCGCTTAAGACGTCTTATCTATAAAAAGAAAAAAAAATTAAAGCTCTTTATAATTTACGAGAACCTCATAATAATTTGTATCGCTATCTTTTCTTTCATAAAATACACAGGCCAAGGTTTAACCCTAATTCAGAAGTCAGGCTTATAAAAATCTGACTGGAATGGAGACGCTACATAAAAGGGACATTGGTTTTTAATTACAATATCATTAATTTAGATTTGAAATATATCCTTAGATTAATTTAAATAGGCCATAGATTAAATTAAAAACACCAAAGACAATACATGTTGTTAGTTGTATAATCTGTTCTCCTTCCTCCTTTAGTTTCTTGAGTGCCTTTTTTTATACAAATGTGGTCCACCAAACTAAAACAATAAAAGAAATGCCACTATTTTGGTGTAAAATCTACAGTAGTTTAAAGAGAACTTTAATATTCAAGAAGGTTTTATTATTAAAGAAAGTTCAGAAAGTTAACACTGTCGAAAACAAGCAGTGTCGTTTTGGGGAGCAATGTAAGATTGTAATTGTTTGCAAAAACATTCCATTTTCAAATGAATTTTGACTTGTAAAAGCCTTTATAAAAAATCTTATTATTTAAAACCGAAGATCAGTAATGATGAAGACGTTGGCTTGATAAATTTGACATATCAATCTCTAGCCAAACATAAAACTATAAGTTTTGTGCGTCTGTAATAAACTAACGGACCTTGTACTAATAGTCTAGCTTAACACAGAGTGCTGATTTGGTCCGTTTCACAAATAGCGTGTTAAGTAGGAATGTTACAAAAATCGCTTATATTTTTAACTATGTAAAGGAATTATAAGGTTTATTATTCGGTATGGAAGAATTATAATAATTCGTATTATAATATTGCATAACTTCAAAGAAATAAATAATTCCAGTTTCAACGTTTTTATAAAACTACTAAATGAAGAGTTCATCCCTTGAACAACAGCTAGCTTTTAAATTATTTTAATAGTTTAGATATTACAATTCTTAGTTATATAATAAGTTATAATTTAAATTAAAACAGGGCCAATTATTAATTTTAAATTTCTGTATATAAATACATATTTATTACAATTTTTAATATGGAATTATAGAGTGTAAACGTCAAATTATTTAATATTCTAAGTGGCAACATTGTTAGAAGTTATTGTTGTATCGATGAAATAGCATCAATTCAATAATCGATTAGACGTATCAATATCGATATCTATAATGTTAAATTGTTACATAATATTTACTGATTAGAAAATTTTTATTTTGTTCAAAAACCATAAATCATAATTAATGCTCTGTGATCGATTATCTTTTTTAAATATTGCAATAAGTTCAATCTAAACGCTTTGGTGAATCGATTATTCCGTTTAAAACAGCCTTTGCTTAGAATTTCATATCGATTATTTAAACATCTTTATTTTTTTTTGGTGTTAATCAAGTCAGTGTCTAATGGGCCTGTTTTCCAGCAAAATTGCTCGTACTTCAAAAATGGCGAACTCTGCAGAAATTCAACAATTTATTAAAGATGCCATATCTCAAGAAAAAGTTGTAGTTTTTTCAAAATCGTATTGCCCTTATTGTACACTGGCTAAAGATGTAAGTTTTTTATTTTTGAACTTTGTGTTTGAAATTTTCTCTTTTTGTTTTCTTATACACACTTAATGTTTTATAAAATATAATAAATTTATAGCGAACAATTTAATGTTTTCAGGTATTCAGCAAAGTGAAGCAGCCGATAAAGGTATACGAATTAGATGAGAGAGAAGATGGATCAGTCATTCAAGAGAACCTTAAAAAAATTACAGGATTTGGAACGGTAAGTAAATTATTTTATTATACAATTATTTAAGTAAATGAAATCCTATAAGTTTGAGTAGAAAGTAGATAAGTTATTATGAAATTATGAGTAATTTTAAAATATTATTTGGTTATCAATATGACCTTAACAATATTGTGAGTCATAGTTGTTTTTCGTTTTAAATGTTCCACCTCATCTTACAAGTTCAATGACATCCAAATAAAACATTATTAGTATAAAATGTATAACATAATATTAGTATAATATAAATAATACAAGTAAGAAGTGTGCATCTTAATTGTGAAATTCTAACAAAGAATCGATTAATATAATTAGCAAAGTTCCAACTTGATAAAATTTGAATGTGGTTTGACAAGGTTTTGTCGGCTGTGATTGTGGTCACATACAAATAGATAATGATGCTTTTAATATTTTTGATAAACATATATTTTTTAAATTATCATTGTAAAAATATGTAAGCCTAAATGTGTGTAAAGGACATCTTTATCGGTTATTCCAATCAAACTTAATCCCTGCAATGCGATGGACCCAGCATCCATACAGTGAATCCATTAAATGCTACGATGTTTAGTCTCGGCTTTTATAAGACAATATATTTAAGTAAAATGGTTGAAATAGATGTTGATATGTAGAATGCAGGTTTATTTCGTTAAAAAATTAAAAAAATGAGAGAATTAGTCTCATAATGCTTTCTGATACCTAAACTTATTTGTTGAAGAAAATCAAATACCGTCAACATGTGTATTCCAAGAATCATGTATCCTATTTGCTGCTAACTTCAGCTGTGGCTTATGTATACCATATTTTGTGTGACGGCCAGATTCTGATAAATTGTACATCAATTTCTGAATGTTTGATTACCTGTTTGTCAAATAAGAGGAACTATCACACTTATATACTCGAAATTTGCAGTAATTCCTTTTTATAAGTATATAATAGTTAATATGTCACAAATAATCAATCTTTTTATCTCATTTTCAGGTACCACAAGTGTTTATCAATGGCAACTGTGTAGGCGGTGGTTCAGATGTGAAAAATCTATATGACTCTGGAAAATTAGAACCTATGCTCATCGGATAACATTTTAAGTCAAATCACATAAAGTACATAAAAATATAATACAAGTGTCAAAATATTTAGGATATTTAATTTCTATGCATTTTAAGGGCTGTACTTATGCAACAAATTAGATTTGTTAAAGTGAAAACAGAATAAAAAAACCATTTTGAATGGAACATTTGATAAATTGCAATGCTTTTTTCATATATATATGCTGTTTATTTATATAATTTAATGTTCAATTTTATAAATAAATTTTAAATACATTCTGCTTTTTATTGTAAATTGTTTTAAAATTATTTACTGTTTCTTAAATTAAGAAAATTAAAGAAGAATTTAAGACACAAATCTCAAGATTCAATTTCATTGTTATATGGGGATGTTGGGAATAAAATCTTATATGTAGTTTCTTAAAACTGATATTGTTATTGCTTTAAAGTTTAATAATAGAATTTTCTTGAGAATTTGTGTTTTAAATTATGCTGTGCTTATTATGTGCTGGAAACTATATTTGGAAATCAATATAAGTTTTTTTTAATTTTTTCTATTGAAAAAACTTTTTTATTGATGCACATGTATAAATACAATTTCGTAAAGGTTTCTTCTTGTAGTTTTTAATATCTTTTTGGGCTTTTTCAACACCTTTACTCTATAGATATATAATATGACATGAACAGTCAAATAAAAACAATTTTGTTCTTGTTAGAATATACTATTTTAAAATTTAATATAAACTCTTGCTAGAATTTAACCATATGTCACCATCTCACAACGTCTAATAAGAAATTATAATATGTAAATTCAAATTTCGAAACATCGTTACAATAATATTCAAATGGTGGCAACACGCCGCTAATAATTATGTAAATAACTCCAAGTATAACATCTCCCCTTGACAGGCACGAGGGCTAAAATCGGTCCGAATTAATTCTAGAGATTCGCCCATAAATCCTTCAGAAGAAGTCACTCGTCCCCTCCCTAAACGCTTTATTACGCACACGGGATGAAAACATCAGGCTCAAGGCCACTACGCGCCTGCGGGGGAGATACGCAACGTACGCAAGAATCTCTATGTCCTATGTCATTGATAAAAGCTCTGTTTTTTGCGTGACTCTATATAACAGAGATTTTCGTATCGCTATGCGTGAAAATGAGACGGAAATAGGCACATCACTACAGTTGCTACCCTACGTTCGGCCCTAGCCGCCCTAGCGAGTTTCACGTGCCCGCCGCTAGTCGCCGTTCGCGAGGTCGCCTAACATATCTTATTTAGTATCAAGCTTGTGTAAACAAACAGTTTTTTCATGTTAAATTGTGATTCCGATGCAGTTTTCCGAGTTTATAGTGTTTGATTGCCTCGTTTCAGTTGCTAGTTATTTAAAATGTGTTCGTTATTTAAATTCGTGTTATGAGAGACGCGTCTTAAGGTGAGTACAAATTTCGACAACACACTGACGCTTTCACTCACAAAATGAGACAATGAGATCGAAAGTGTTTGTAACAGAGATTATATATTGTAAATTAATGTGTTTCCGTCATAAACAGAATCTCTTTTGACAAAGTTTTGAAAGATATTCAAATAAGAAATGTAATATATCAAATGTGTTTTGTATTTTGTTTGTTAAAATATTTAAAATATACGTAGAACTGTTGATCATGTATGTGTTTTTATAGGGTAATGGGTTCATTTATTTATTATTATTTCATGTGATATATAGAAAACTTAATGTCGTTATCTATTTTCATAAATAAATTAAAGGATAAATACAAACATGTCATTTCTCGGAAAAACCAGAGAACCTTATTTTTTTTAGTAACAGCTGACCAAGTTTTTTAGGAACAAGGCTTATATACAATTATTGTTTTAGACTTCATCAAGTATTGCAAACTGAAAAATTATTATTTATGGAATAAAAAATAGGTAAATTAAATGGAAGACAACAATATGTACAAGATATATGTACTAGGTACGGAAAAGAAAATTGAACTTTATTTAGGGAGAAATTAGCACCAACCTTAGATTTAAGTTAAAATATTCAAATAAAAGAAATTTATTACAATATAAGAAAATTAAACGTACAGTTAATCTGAAACATTACAACTGAAACATGAAATAAATAAACTTATACATATTTTCACTTCGTTACAACTTGTGTACATTTCGTTTAATTTAATACTTAAACCAACGTTTCGATTACTTTACAGTAACCAGTTTTACAGCAACATGAAATAAAATTGTTTCAAACGTCACCTTAAATATAAAAATATGAGCAAAATTTACGCCACTTATATCCGAAAACATAATTAAAATAGTTACAGCATTATCGAAAATTTTGATGAAATTGTTAACCTTCATATACTATTGAACTTTGGAAATGAAAAACAAATACGCAAGTAAAAAGGTTTCTTCTCTTTGCACGGATGAAGGCCGTATTTAAAAAAAAAGGTTTCTTTTTTATCTGTCGTCTATTGATGGACAAGGGGTGTTTGGCGGGAAACGTAACGTCACAGGGGTTGCTACGGGCGATATAAGGCGCGCGTCAGTCTGGCGTCGCTCAGAACGCCTACAGCTGCCGAACGGCAACGTAGCGCTTAAGCGTCGCGGGCAAACGACAAACTTTATTAACTTTCGACTTTGTGTATATTATTTGTGCACGAATTGTAGTGGAAGAAAAATACGTTTTGCTTGTTGTTTATTGGTAAGATTAAATACTTTTAGAATAAATAATAATGTAGTCGTTTTATGTTTCCCACCGGTTAATCTTTTGTTTTAATTATTGATTAAAAACTGATATAGTACACCCTCTTTCAACGTATTTGTATGTACATTTGAAACCTTTAATCAACGTTTACACCTCCGTTTATTTTTTTTACAATATTAATATTAAAAAGAGATTTTGTTATAGACAGAAACTATGAATATCTATAACAAAAAATATATAATATTACATATTTCGTAACTTAATCATACTTTATACAATTGTTACAAATTTACTTAAAAGACACGAACGTACTTAATCAATTCCTTTGTTTTAAAAAAAAAATTAAATAGTCACGTTTTTTACTATCCATTTATATTCTTCCTTTTTTGAATTAAAAACAAATAACGTATTTTTCCCGTCTTTGTCTCTTGTATTTTAGTTTTACAAACATTCCAAACATCATCCCTGTTTGTTCAGCCATCACAATCATTATACATTTACCTGTATACCTTTACAAACAAGCTAATTCCGTCATCTTATTTCCATATCGTGTGCCCGTAGTGTTGCCCGGCTTGAAATATATGAAGCACTTGATTTTATAATACAAAGCGGTTTGTACGTTGTTGACGTTCAGACTCGGTACTCGACAAAAAGTAAAAAGGTTCGCTTATTCTCTTGCACATCAACAAACTTGCTTCGACTGGAACCTTGGTGGCTATTTATATATATAAGTCTTACTTATAAAATTGTCGTGTCGCGGTGTTAGACAGAGAACTCCTCCGAAACGGCTAGACCGATTTTGATGATTTTGTAAGCACATTGAGTAGACCTGAGAATCGGCCAACATCTATTTTTCATACCCCTAAGTCGTAAGGGTTGTTCACTCTTAATTTTTTTTTAATTTTTGGACGAAATTTATTGTTTTTATATTTTTATAATGTAGCATTAGAAAATACATACAACCCAATTATTTCACTTTTTTATTACCAACCCCTATTTTTTTATATGGCAAAACAACGTTTACCGGGTCAGCTAGTATATATGTATATATGTACATATATATATTGTTATTTCTTTGTTCAACCATTCAAGATAATACAAAAAGTCTTTCTGGATCATACTTTTTAATCTCCTACCCTGATATTGGTTTGAATAATTTTTATAATGTGCATTTACATGCTCGAATGAACTCATACGGTTTATCCTTTGTATTTTCAAAGAAATAATCCGACCCCAATATCTAAATTTGAAAATTAATATACGTAAATGAAAATTTTGACTTCATACAAAAACATTAATGACCTATATATTTTGAACCATTCAGTCATTAAAGCGTAATCTTATTATTAATTAAAGACATTTGTTTGAAGTTACCCAACAATACTTGAACAAACCTTGCCTTAATCAAAATAATAGAAAGTTTTGATGGAAAAATATATTAATTAAACGGCGCGAATGTGTCTGAGAGCTCATCAAAAATGTATAGAATTCGTATGATTTGCATAAAATTCATTTTATTGCCTCCGAAGACAAACAAAATAGAATATTAGCCGTTGGAACGGATCCAGCGATGCGGCGGTACCTGTCTCAGTTGTGCCGCTATACCACAAACTTGACACTACACTCATTAAACTCTACTCCATCATGGGTACGCTACACATATTCTATCAGAAAAATAATGCACATATATTTATTATAAATCAAAACTTATCATACCAGGTGTACATATACGTATTTATGTTATATTAATTTTTATTTGGTCATATATGATCGTCAAATATCACGTCCTGAAGTATCGATAGTAATTCACCAGTCACCCTGTATAACAAATACTAGTTGAATAAAAATGTGTTTTACTTAGCTAAAATGTACCTAATGTTTTAAAAATATTTAATGAAATCGAAGATCATGAATAATGTAACGGCAATTTTAATTATATTTACCGTCTTTCAAAAGAATATTGACGTGAAGTCTGAAAGTTGAGTTATAAAAGAATTCAATGAGCTTTTGATAATTATGCCAAGTAACTTCGTGGCGGGCATTTGTTGAGACTATTAAATATTCATCGGCTTTCAATGAAATTAGCTTTCACTTTAATAAATATAAGAAATCAATACATCTTCTACCGAGTTTTACTTTTTATGAGTATTTTAACTAAGTAAATATTATCATTTGTTACAGATGTCATATCGGACGTTGCAGTACAGTTATATCGTAGGATTTAGATAGCTTCTAGATATTTTTAAATAATATTTCGTAAACTATAGAAGTAACCAAAGATAGTGGATAGATATAGGCTATAGCATAGGAGTTTCGGGGTGGGATACAAGTAGTAAGATTAAGATAAAGTTATCGTTTATTTTTATAGTAGAAAATAATGCTAGAGCCTCTCATAAAGCATCGGTATCTGGGGTGTGTGTGTCGGTCGTAGGGTGATAATGAATGAAGATAAGGAGGAAGTTAGAAGCGAGGCGGAGGCAGCGGCCAGCCCGAAGAGATTGTGCTGGCCGCGGCGACCGCCTGCTCCTCTACCAGACACCAGGGGGCTCTGCTGCGCCAAACTCCTCAGGAAGAATGGGAAAGCGAAGAAGGTAAGCCAATCTTATATTATAATTTGGAAACTCACCGATCCTTAAACACGAAGATCCAACATATTTCAAGCTAGAGCAAGCAACCTCCAACCTTATAATTAAACTTCCACCGAATTTCAGTCACGGTGGTTAGATAACCGTTATTCGAATCTAATCCACGCTGTATTAACTACACCTTACAGTTCATATAATAATTTGATTACACGAATGTCTCATACGAAACTAGTTTGCCGTATACGTTTAATTTAATTATTAAGTTTGGTTTACAAATGTGTTATAATATTATGTACATTGTGTTAAGGATCATAACTAGTGTAAATAAGTAGACGCGGAACCGCTAACTCTATATCAAATTAGTTTCCTCTGACGTCGCGTGCTCCCTCAAGTTTGATTACACGCCGCGAGCCGACAAATGAACGAGAATCCTGTAATCATTGTTGCACGATATATATTAAACAACTAGTTTTTGCCCGCGACTTCGTCCGCGTTAGTTTAGTCAAGAGTAATATATGTAGGTATAGCTGACCAGTCGAACTCTATTGCGTCTTACAGGCCATAAATAATCAGGTTTTTCCTGTTTCAATCAAACAGAATTGACATATTAGTTAGTTGTCAAATCTAATGTCAAAAAAAAAGTTTGTATGAGAAATAGAATAGCTGTTTTTAGGGTTTTCCCGACAATTATTCCAATTTTTCTCACCTTTTAAACCTTCCCTGGACTTCCAGGAGTATTTCAAGACTAAAATTAGCAAAATCGGTTCAGCCGTTCTCGAGTTTTAGAGAGACTAAGGAACAGCAATCCATTTTTATATATATAGAAGAAGAAGATAAACAGAAACTAGAAACATTACGTATAGAAATAGTTGTATTAATTAATAATAAATAATAAAACCTTACGTCTAACCTAACCAACCTCTTTAATTACCTTCGTCAGTATTCCATGTATGATGTAACAATCCTGTTTTGTATCAAGACGTATCTAATTATGGTAACACCTAATTTAATATAATATTCACGTTTGGGAACGACGTAAATATAATTTGTAGACGAGAATTGAATTTGCGAAGAAAAAAAATACATCGATGTTCAAGTTACCGAGTAAATTGAATTTAACCGTTAAAAATCTTCTATATATATAAAAATGGATTGCTGTTCCTTAGTCTCACTAAAACTCGAGAACGGCTGAAAGGATTTATCTTATCATAGTCTTGAATTGTTCGTGGAGATTCAGGGAAGGTATAAAAGCTGAAAAAAATTGATTCATTACTGGGAAAACCATAAAAACAGCCCTTTTCTATTTCCCATACAAACGTTTTTTTTGACATTTGATTTGACAACTAACTAATATGTCAATCATTCTGTCGCACTTCAAAACACGGAGATTTATGGCTTACAGGTAAACTTCAAAAATATAAATAAAAAAACGTAACAGATATTTCTTGATTATAGGGCGATACGAAGTTCGCCAGGTCTTCTAGTATATAATATATTTGAATCAAACGGTGTCTTGAGTGCACTGTTTTGCAATTCAGAGTCCAAAGAGGTTTCAATCTCGCTAATGTGTCTGAGATATCACACGGTTCACCTATAGTATAGTAATATACTTATATATGAGAATTTGAAATGCATTAGAACGTCGATATTTATTTAAGACCTTAGATAAATGTGGTGCACCTCCAATAAATACACGTCTGTCCTCGACTTTTAAGAAGAAAATAAACTTATTTATAATAGTATAGGGATCTAACGAATTTCTACTAATGTTTATCTGAACTTAAATTATATATTGAAAACTTTTTATTTCTAAACATAAATTCTATTTATGAATTTATTTCTTTCAAATAGAAGACAAATGTATCCCAATTAAACCCTTGCAAGGAGAATATATAAACATGAATGCTTTCCTAACATAACGAGGACCTTTGAAGAATTTTTTACATGACTTACTACAGAATCATAGCCTTAGAAATCACGGTACAATAATTTAAAGGTCAATATAAAGTTAAAAGCAAATGTACAACAACTGTTTGACAATTATAATAGAAATCGAAATGTGCTAAGTGTACATTTTCATCTCAACTTTAGCGACAGTATTATTCATAAATCGTTTGCAATTTGAATCTGTAATTAATAAAAATAGTACACAAAAATCCAGGTATTAGCAGACAATTAAAGGACTTAATTTTTTGTTGCTTTATCCGTAAATCTTTGAATAAAATTGTCCGATTTTTTACGTCCAAATCGTCGTAGTCAGTCAGTACAATAAAGTTTCTTTGCTCACGGTGAAAGATTTGCATAATAATGAATACTGAGAATTTGATTAGCTGTCTCAAAAAGTGCTGGCTTTCTAAATCGTAATTAAAAGTACTTGATATCCTTTGTTCAAGCCTTCCAGCAATCTCCAATTTCTCTTTATTAATACTTTAATATTCTGTATGTACTGATATGGTTATTAAATATTTGTGTAGTGGTTATTGAAATTTTGCTTTTCTTTTTTTTTTGGAACTATATTCATTTTAAAAAAGTTTCATTATAATGAGTAATTCTGTATCGAGAAAGAGAGTCCAAAAATTTTTTTTTAATGACGTCCTTTAAATGTAATGTATTATATAATTTTTCCTTAAATTTTTTTTTGACCTACATCTTAAATTTTTGTTTTTTTTTTAAGAAAGACAAATAACGTATTAGTATAAAGCCAGTTGAAACTAAAAATAATTAAAAATTGTGTTAAAAATCAACAATATGGGAAAAGGCTGTAATGTAAAGTCAGTGAAAAAGGTTTCTCTTTGATAAACTGAAAGGAATTCAAAGACTCTCAACTTTAAGAATACATTTAGAAAGTTTGATAAAAGAAAACACTATTTGCATATTTTTCCTTTGAATTATTTCAGGATTCATACACTTCACGGAGAGTTAAAAAACTTACAACACGGATAACTTTACATAATCACTGGATTACTGAGAGATTTTTTTATAGCCTTTTTATTGTTTAGTTTATATATACGTAAAAAAATATTTGAACGGAAAAAATACTTATTAATTGCGATGGGAATAACTGTTTTATCGAACTTTTTTATCTGTGGATTTGTGTTACCATGATATTATTGTATTTAATATCTTCCTTTGAAAAAGTTATGTTTTACATGGCGAGCGAACTTAACGCGTTTCTTAAATCTACATTATCAAGATGTTCCTAGTATTATAAAAATATATTTTATATATTAGATGAAAAATATATTTTACGATAGCATAAATATTAATTTTGTTACCAAAAAAATGATTCTGTATATATAAAAAGATCTAAGCTATTATGGTATGTATGGTATACGTATAGTATTGTTTATAGAAATAGCGTGAAAGAAGTCAGAAGAAATCAATTAATCGTTCGGGTGAACACTTTAATCAGTTCTAACAAAGGTTTTCTTGTTAGCCCTTGATATTTATCAGTACCAAGTCTAAGACTTCACAAGAGAATGTTCGTTTTCACGACTTTTTATTGGACATCAGTCGTATTGCACTTTTTATGTGGTCGTCGAGAGTCTTGTTACAATTTATTGTATTGTCTATTCTTGTTCAGACGATTGTAACTTCACTTAAATTTTGTTACATGCTTCGGTTTACGAAATTCTTGTTAAAAGCATTTGTGTTCAATAAAATTTACGTTGTGTCTAAAATATTGTTAGTATTTATGGTTAAATTTAATTTGAAACATAATACTTATTTCATAGAATGTTTACAGTCCGGATGTTTAAAGTATATCTTTGCTACAAAGAGATAAGGTAGAAGTATAAAAGGGAGGAAACAAAAGGATCTAATCCTTATTGTACTAAATAATCTTTACTTTCATAATTTTTAATGTCTCCTCGTGTAAGCTGATGAAAACAAACTGATTAATATTTGTACAAATATATATATTAATTAATAATTGTTATAAACAAATTACTCGACTTTTTTTTTACGAAATTCGTGCTTTTGTAAAAAAAAAGGTAACATACAAGTCTTTCAGAATTTATTTCTACAGTTTTCGAATATTAAATCGTAGCTATGGAGCATAAATATTATTCTTTTGATAATAACACAGAAACTAGTTGGTTTAACATAACATTTATAATCACTTATCGTTTTTCAAATTTTCTATAAAATTCTTTATACATTACAAGCATCTGCTCTTTCAGTGTATGAACCAGATTCTCTCGAAATTGAAGCATCCGTAACGACTATATGATACATACCTCTCATTAACGTAATATTTATACAATTTCGTAAACAAATTAAATGTTTGCTTTTACTATGTTAATATAAAATATGTCTTATTTGTATCAAAATAGATCAGTTATTCATTTGGCATTGAATCTGAATTGTTGACTGACGAATGATATTTAAAAATATTTCCTTTTAATGCTATTTTAATATCATTATTTTTATTAAATAAAAATTAATTTAATAAAAAAATATATTGCCGTTTCAATCTGAAAATGCTTTAATTCAACTGAAAATCAACAGTATCGAATACCAAACAATAATTGTAACTTTATATGAAGCATTATGTTTATAATTCAGTGAGATCTTCGTGTCTTATTTTATCCAATTAAAAAAAGCGATACATTTGTCTTTAATAAACTTTCCGTCATTATTACAAATAATTGTTATAAAATAAGTGGAAAAAATCTTTATTTATCATTGATTGCATTATGGAAATACTTAATACGTAAACACTCGTTTTCAGAAAAGATTAATTAAAACCTGAGATTTTGTTCTTGTGGAAAGAGTTTCAGAGGCAATTTTTTTTTTTTTTTTATGTGAAAGCTGGCAAACGAGCAGACGGCCCACTTGATGGAAGGTGGTTACCGTCGCCCATGGACATCCGCAACATCTATGTTGCGGATGCATTGCCAATCTTGTTTTGTAGGGATAGGGAGGGGTGGGAATAAGGAAATGGTAGGAAAGGGTGGGAATAGGGAAAGGGCAACCGGCTCTCTCACTCATCGGACGAAACGCAG